TGGGCTGGGTGTATGTAAATTTATTGTATGTTCCGAGCATTTGTGGTTGTGTTTATTTGCCACATCTAAGTAAAATTCTGTTGTGGCAAAAGCTGGTGTTAGGGTTGCTTTCCTCGTTCGTGACTTCACTGTATCCTGGGAAGCCCACCCCGGTACACGGCTTACACTGATACCAAGAGAAACATTATTTCCAATCATCTCAGAGTTCCCTCTCTGTCCCCTTTTTTCAGAACTCTCAAGAATTGCTTAAGGACTTTTAACATATCTAGAGAAGAGAAGAGAAGACTGCAAATAAACTGGTACAACTTATGTAGGATGATTTATTTCATCTCTGTGTATCACCTGAGACCAGTCACTTCAATGGGTATATGTAAGGGTTTACTGCCACTTTAAAGACAAATTGAACAAGTAGCATATGTGCAAAAAATGAAAAAAAAAAAAAAAAAATCTGACAGTGAAAGGGTTAAAATTACTATAAAAATTAATATCTGAGCGCACACCCATCCACCTCTCTGCTTGTAACATCATTACACCCCCACTGAGCCCTATGTGTAATATGCTGCATCCCTTTTAGACTAATTGCCAATCATCCTTCCATACCAACTGAAAGGTAAAGTAGAACTAAGGGCATCATTTTTTTTTTTTTCTGTTTTGGATAGAGTAGGGTTATATCCCCTGTCAGTTTTTTTGCCATCTGTATCGTCATTGGGCAGATTTCCCTTCGCTTCCTGTCCCATAGCCAAAACAGGAATCTCCCTAATGGGGGGACAGACAGCAATAAAAACATGACAGGGGGTTTAATCCCACCTCACTCTATCCAAAACTATAAAAAAAAGTTTGCCTCTAGTTATGCTTTAACATGTGTGCAAAAAGGAAAAAGAAAAATAGCTAATTGTCCCCATACATGGGCAGACCTATACATATGGGAATGGGATCTGTCATCAATGGGAAAAATGCCTCAATTTAAATTGTCAGTTATCTTGTATCTATTAATATCGACAATACATACCAGTTAATTCAGTCACTTCTATCTTCGGGTGCAGGCAATTGACCTTACAGCCGGCACCAAAACATCCAACGACGGCAATGAAGCAGCCACGCACAAAAACCCGAACCCTCTTCATTCTTCTGTGCTCCTTGGTTGGGGTATCTGCAGGCTGTTGATTGATACCTCCTTCCATAGGTGGCTTTCCTTTAGTTGGTTTCTCTTCAGTGGTTTTCTGAGAAATAACCCTTTTAAGGTTATGAAACACGCTTTAGGTGGGTGGGAATGAAATCGCAATTGAATCGAATGAAATCGAATTCAATGAAACTGCAATAAAAAACTTGCCAGAGAAAGAAGCAGGTCTTCACCAATCAGTGAATACCCAGCAACTGAAGAGACCAAGTGAGAGCTTCCTTATGGCTGATCACATCACAGTCACGTAAGCTAAAAATAACTCACAATTTTTATTTAAGGGGCCTCACCCATCTTTGTCATCTTTGTGAATTCAGCCTGTAGCTCAGTATACGGATCTAATGCACCAGGAAATGGCTCCTTTAAGAAAAATGCTTTTATTGAAGTGTCAGTTATTTTGACTGAGATTTTAACCCTTACAGTCCCATGGCTTAGAGAAAGATCTGTATTCCTATAATAACACTGTGAATTGGGCCTCATCGCTTCATAAAATGTTCCTGCAGAAAAAATATTTTTATTTCTGCCAGTGTATCTTAAAGCTGAGATTTGCAAATAAAAAAAAGGTCACATGACCATCTTCTGATTTTAACTTTCATCTGGTGTGGGGGGGGGGGGGATTGATGTGGCCTTAATGTAAAAAGAGATGCAGCAGATTACACATTAGACTCAGTGATGTCTGCAGACAGGAGGAAAGACAGAGAGGTGGAGGCGTCAGCACTTTGACCAGTTTTATTCATGGTTTGCGGTCATTTTAACCCTTTCACCGCTGAACCAATTTTTCCTTTTTTTTTCCTTTTTTGCACACATGTTAAAGTATAACTAACGACAAACCTTTTTCCTTGGATAGAGTGGACTGGGATTAGAACCCCTGCTGGGTATTTATTGCTGTATGTGCTCCCTTTAAGCATATTCATGTTACCATTACTGCTAAAAGTGAAAAAATCCCAAATTTGGGGTTGTTACCAGAACAAGAATAGAGGAAATCTTCCTATTTTGGCTATGGGACAGGAAGTGAAGTGAAATCTCCCCAAATGGGAACCCAGGTGGTAAGAAAAAAACCCTGAGAAGGGTTATAAACCTCCCTATCCAAAAGAAATATTTTGCCTATAGTCCTCTTTGAACTTTCAGCTGGTATGCAGAATGACATTGTGGGCTTAATCTAAAAGAGGGTGCAGCATATCACACATGGGATTCAGGGGGGGTGTAGTGATGTCTGATGTAGACATGAATGAGCAACTGCTACTGGCGGAGAGGGGGAGTGTTGAGCACTCAGATATTAATTTTTAGAGTCATATTAACCCTTTCACTGCTGGAGTTTATTTTTTGTTTTTCATTTTTTGCTCATGTGCTATTTGGTCATTTCTGTCCTCAAAGCATTAACTAGTTTCTGAAATTATTAGGAATCCTTGACAACTGCCCTGTGTGTGTGTCATGGCAAAAAGTACAACAAAACATGCATATCTGAGAAGAGTCCAGCAGAAGGAGCAAAGAGTGCAACCAATCCAGACATGGAGATTGCAGCAAAGGGAGCTCAGACCATCCTTCAGAGCCAGGGGAAGAAGGAGAGGATCAGGAGCTCATGGAGGATGTTCCAAGGAGGCAGAAAAATACAGTTAGAAACCATTCCAGGAAAATAGATTACAAGGGACATTATGGATGAGGGTTTTTGAAAAAAGTACCAAGGCAGGGTACTGTTATGTTTTCCATGATTTCTGCATTGCATAGAGAAGCACAGAGAACCAGTAATGATGTCACTGACCCTAAAAGAGTATGTAAAGAAAGTTTTTATAGAAAAATTACATTTGCATGCTGATGCAGGGAAGGGAGGATCCAGGCAAGACAAATATAATAATAATAATTATAATATTATTATTATTATTAAGGATTTTTATAGAGCCATCTGTTTGCACAGTGCTTTACAACATGAGGGCAGACAATTCAAAACAGGAGGAATCAGAGGGCCCTGCTTGTTTAGAGTTTACAATCTAGGAGAGATTGGAGGAGATACTAGGAATAAAGCTCAGCTTTAATGCTACCTAAATAGTATATTGAAAAATCCTTTTTGTCTTGAATTCCACCAAAAATAGCAGTGTGCTTCGTGTTCCTTAAAAACTCGTGGCTGTGTGTCATTGCATAAGGTGGGCATCTGGATGACGACAATGGCGGGCCACACCTGCGCAATGTCTATAGGCATGGCTGCTTATAGTCTCCATGGGAAGAGCAACCTGAGTTTACTAGGTGACACCACAGGAGAGCAATTGGGAGACAATGACAGAGCGTTGTCACCTCATAATAGAAAGTGCCTGAAAAAGGACCCTAATGTCAGGATCACCAGACAATATTTATATTAAAGACGCAGATGTAAAAATATTGAAAGTGACTTTTGAAATGATGTTATTATGTTACAAATTATATGAGATTTTATTAATTGGGTTTACATCTACTTTCAGGAAATACATGGTGTCACCATGTACGTGTCTTGTGTGCTGTTTAAAGAATTGTCTTTTTCTGATCACCATTTATAAATGGATTAATAATGTGAAAGGTCCTACACTACGGCCTATTACACAGAGAAGTAAGTAACCTTATAAATAGATGTCATTATCTATTGCAATCTATGCGTCTGCTTACATATCACTCCACTGCTCAATGAATCATGTGTAATAGTGCATCTGCACAAGACATGGTTAGAGATTGTGAACATGATACATTATATGATCAGACACTATAGACACAATTCAAGAGATGGTCAGAGACTACATGATGGTCAGATACTGCTGGAGATGACTGCTATAACAGGGCAATAGGGAAACACAGATTAGTTTCACCAAAGGCCCTAAGGGCCACACAAAATTTGCCAAAGGGATGCATGAGGCCTTTGAGCCTCAGGTTGGGCTCTAAGGATTTCTAGCAGTTCCTTGAGTAATTAGTAAATAAATAACCACTGACACATGTGATCTATTTTTGCTATGTGTAAGGGTTGATTTGTCCCAATGAGAACCAGTGAAAGGGTCATTCTTCCCACTGATCACCAATGCTGACAACCGATGTTGTTGTTCCCTTTTGACTAGCATAAAGGGGCCCTTTTGTCAATGCCCACCAATGTAACAGCGTCCTTCTTTCATTGACCACCAATATTGGTGGTCTCTTGTCCAATGACCAACGAAGGAGGGAGCTTATCTACTGATCCCCAGGACAAGAGGACCATTGACCAATGTAAGGGGATCCCCTTGTCCACTGCACTTCATTTAGGCTTTAGTTACAGTTCTGGCAGGGAAGGCCTGAAAGGTATTCAGAAGGTTCCTCCATGTTAAAAAGGTTGTGAATGACTGATCTAGGTCTTCATCATGGGACTCATATGTTGAAAAAGGATATTTTTATAGAAACTAATAGTACGGTAAAAATGCAAAAACTGCTTTGCTCCTGTGTCATAAGGCCTTCTGAGATTTCTGAGGTGCTAAAACAAGTAACCAGTTATTTGAGAGAACCATTGCAATGCTAAAAAATCACTTTGCATCCAACCCATCTAAAATTGTAAAACATTTGTTTTAATAGAAGAAAAGAATCTTAGAACATATCACCAAATGATACAGAGGGGAGATTTACTAAAACTGGAGCACACAGAATCTGGTGCAGCTGTGCATAGTAACTAGTCAGAGTCTAACATCAGCTTAGTCAATTAAGCTTTGACAATAAAACTGGATGCTAATTGCTTGCTATGCAAAGCTGCATCAGATTCTGTGTTCATCAGTTTTAGTAAATACGCCCAGTCAATCACCGGTGATTTTGGCAGAGTGTGGAGCAGGGGCGGACTGACAACTCATGGGGCCCCCGGGCAATAGGGGATCATGGGGCCCCTGTGTCCTTGCCCAAACTCAAAAAAGCCTATGAAAAAAGAACCAGGGGCATCTCATGGGGCCCCCTACTGACCCCTGGCCCTCGGGCAGTGCCTGAGTTTCCAAATGGTCAGTCTGCCCCTGGTGTGGAGTACCGAGATGGAACCCCGCTAGCAAAACGGAATTTTGGGTAAAACAGAGTTTTGGGTAGAGTAGAGAATGTCTGAAACTTCTGTTGGGTTTTTTTCTCCTGGTGTGAGCTCCATTTGAAAGTAATAGGATCCCTCTCCCCCCCACTGAATAGATTATATGCTCCTTTTGGTCTAGAGTACCATTTAAAAGAAGTTTTACTTATCCTTGCTCCCCTGGCAGCTGGGGTTCTTCTCTCTGACACTTCAGGTTGTGGTTGTGTTCTTGGTATTCTCCCTTACAATACAGGCCTGCTGGTTCTGCATTGTACTTGATGACATTAGAGTGAGGCCAATGGCTGGAGTGCTAAAGAGAAATGGTTTTAAGAGTCTGTTGCTTGGAGAGGAGGAAGCATGGGGTAGTGAGGGTTAAAGTAACGGGAAAGAAGGGGGCCTATTGCTGGGAGAGTAAGAAGCCAAGAAGCCTTCTGGTGTGAGGGTAAGCCTATGGGAGCTAGGTGGACCAGTTGCTCAAAGAGGTGGAAGCTTGTGGGAGTGAGGGCTGCTTTTTAATATTTCCCTATGCAAAAATACAAGCACTGAATTGTTGCACAGCTGGGGAAGCCTCACTGCAAGGCTGGTTTTTAATTCAGCTTTAAGTTTGTGTAGTTTAGCCCTTTTGCTGACAGAGTGAAACCATTTTAAGCCTGAAGATTACATAAACCCCAAAACATTATATATTTTCTTAAAGCAGACACCCTAGAGAATAAAAAAAAGTGGTAGTTCCAATTTATGTCACATGATATTACTGCAAACTGTCAGTAAAAATTAGACTAAAGGTAATTTTAGGGCACACAAATGTAATAATAATTTTTTTTGTAAAAATAAAAGATGAGGTTGCACCGAGTAAATAGATACCCAACATGTTATACCTTAAATTTTCTTACGTCCTTGGAATGGTGACAAACTTCATTACCCTATATTTTCTATAGGCGATATGTAACATGTGTATCGCAATCAGCGCTTTCGTGCATAGATGCATGCGTTTATGTTCGTACATGTGTATATATGGGTTTGGGGGGGCTCAACATTTTTTGGGGTGTGATTTTATATACTTGAGTGTAACTTTAATTTCTTACAATAAAAAAACGTGTTTTTTGCTTAACCTTTTTCTTCTTCACACAGGGGACAAAAAGTCCCCTATGTGATGTTTTTTTGGTGACCAGTTCTTTTTAACCACTTGCCTACTGGCACTTTTACCCCCTTTGTGCCCAGACCAATTTTCAGCTTTCAGCGTTGTCGCACTTTGAATGGCAATTGTGTGGTCATGCAACACTGTACCCATATGAAATTTTTATAATCTTTTTTCACACAAATAGAGCTTTCTTTTGGTGGTATTTAATCGCCACTGGGTGTTTTATTTTTTGCACTATAAACAATAAAAGAGCAAAAAATTTGAAAAAAAATGTTTTTCTTTGTTTCTATTATAAATTTTGCAAACAGGTAATTTATCTCCTTCACTGATATGCGTTGATGAGGCTGCACTGATAGCACTGATGGACAGCACTGATGGGCACTGATGAGGTGGCACAGATAGGCAGCACTGATGGGCACTGATAGGCTGCACTGATGAGGTGGCACTGATGAGGTGGCACTGGTGGGAATATGATGAGGAGGCACTGATGACGCTGCCCTGATATACAGCAATAATGGGCGAAACGGAAAGGCAGTGCTGACTGATGGCACTGACTGGCGGCACTGATAGGTGGCACTGCTGGGGGGCACTGATGGGCACTGGTGGGAGGCACCGCTGGGCACTGTTGGGTGGCACTGCTGGGTGGCACTGCAGGGCACTGATCATTAGGGCACTAATCAGTGCCAATCTGCTCTGTGACAGCTGCCGGTAGCTGTATTTACTCCGTGATCTGCTGTGTGTTTGGTAAAAGTCGCTGTGATTGGCCTTTAACTTCATTACATGATCAGTTGTTGTCCTTAAGATCGCCAGGTGTGCACCGCTGGGGGCATGCAGGAGGGTGTGTTCTGGGAGGATGTCATATGATGCCCTCCCAGAACTGGATAACCACGCCATAGCCATCGTTCGGTTATAACATGGTTAACAAGTGGTTAATGAGACATCCAGATTCTAAAAGACCCTGGATGTCTCCCCCTGCGCTCCACTGGATGTAATACAATGCAAATCGCATTTCAATAAATTTTTTCCCAACCATACTGGCTGGGGAAACTGACATGGGGACCCAGAAGTGATGTTTTACATGTCGCTTGTGTGGGGAGGGGTCATTACCTGGGGTATGAAAGTAATCCGGTGCTGCCGGAGGAGCCGGGCTGCTTCCATCGGACAGCCAGAAGTCGTCATGTCAAATATACACGCAAATTATTCTGCTACTGATCAATTTTACACTGCTTTGTCGTTCTTAATCTGATTAAGGCTGGCCATAAGTGAGCCATTTGTTTGAACATGCTGATTGAACAAAAGAAAATTATTTGATTCCGCTATCCACACTCTCGATATGGATGGAGGAATCACTGATACTGATAGGGGACAGACTTCCTAGCTATCAGAATACACTGATCAGTACCTGATTGATAGAACATTTTACAACAGGCTGGCTGTACACAAATTGATCGATAGATTGACTTCTGTAGAACATTCAGCCCATACATGGATAAAAAATTAGCCGATCTCTGCTGAGCCAGCCAAATTTCCATTCATGTATGGCTAGCTTTATGTAGTATAACACCAGTACTGCTTTTCTGTAGTATATTTCAGCCAGTTCTCATTAAAAATGTCCTGTTGTTGGCCAATTTTGCATTGCAAGAACAGGGGCAGCCACAATGAACTACTGGCCAATTTCTATCTGCCGGTCAAAGCAGGCCTATTACCATTTGATCAAAAAGCAAGCGTTGCTGCCAAAACTACCTGAAAAACAAATCTTTTAAAAATTGAAAATAGTCAGATCTTCTGCTGCTGTGTGTAAGTCAAGCTAATTCTGCTAACAAATTTTCTCTGCCAATCTATGCTGATGCTGAAATTGGTCGTGAAAATCATACTCTTCTATAGCTCTATGTAGATATACAGTATATATATATATACAGTTGCAAGAAAAAGTATGTGAACCCCTTGGGATTACGTGGAGTTTTGCATGAATTGGCATAAAATCTGAACATCATCTAAGTCACAACAATAGAAGAACACAGTCTGTGAACATAATACTACACAAACATTAGATGTTTCCATGGTTTAATTGCACATAACATGTAAACATTCACAGTGCAGGGAGGAAAAAGTATGTGAGGCCCTAGCTTAATGACTTCTCCCAGAGCTAATTGGAGCTGAGCCAACCTTGACTCCAATCAGTGTGATGATATTGGATGTGTTGCTGACAGCTGTCCTGCCCTTAAAAAACACACACCTGTTTTGGTTTACTGGTTTCAAGAAGCACTGTCTGATGTGAACCATGCCTCTCAGAAAAGAGCTCTCATAAGACCTACGATCAAGAATTGTTGACTTGCATGAAGCAGGAAAGGGTTACAAAAGTATCTCCAAAAGCCTTGATGTTCATGTGTCCACGGTAAGACAGACTGTCTACAAATGGAGAAAGTTTAGCACTGTTGCTACTCTCCCTAGGCGTGGTCGTCCTGTAAAAATGACTGCAAGAGCACAGCGCAGGATGCTGCATGAGGTAAAGAAGAATCCAGAGTGTCAGCTAAAGACCTACAGAAATCTCTGGCAGATGCTAACATTTTTGTTGACACATCTACAATAAGGAAAACATTAAACAAGAATGGAGTACAAGGGAGGACACCACGGAGGAAGCCATTGCTGTCCAAAATTATTGCAGCACAGTTTGAAGTTTGCAAAAGAGCACCTGGATGTTCCACAGCACTACTGGCAAAATATACTGTGGACAGATGAAACCAAGATTGAGTTGTTTGGGAAGAACACACAACACTATGTGTGGAGAAAAAAAGGCACAGCACACCAACATCAAAACCTCATCCCCACTGTAAAACATGGCGGAGGGAGCATCATGGTTTGTGGCTGCTTTGCTGCCACAGGGCCTGGACGGATTGTTGTCATTGATGGGAAAATGAATTCCAGAGTTTATCAAGACATTTTGCAGGAAAACGTACAACCATCTGTCCGCCAACTGAAGCTCCGCAGAGGATGGGTGATGCAACAGGACAATGACCCAAAGCATACAAGTAATTCAACAAAACAATGGCTGCAACAGCACAGAATACGCCTTCTGGAGTGGCCCAGTCAGAGTCCTGACCTCAACCAGATTGAAATGCTGTGTAATGACCTTAAGCTAATTCACACCAGACATCCCAAGAATTTGCTACACTGAAACAGTTTTGTGAACAAATGGTTCTCTGCCAATCTTGTGCAGGTCTGATGCTGAAACTACAGGAAACGTTTGGTCCAGTGTACAAAGGTTCATCATACTTTTTCCTTCTGCACTGTAATGCATCTATGTGCAGGCAACATCTAATGTTTGTGTAGTATTATGTTCAGCAGACTGTGTTCTTCTATTGTTGTGACTTAGATGACGTTCAGAGCACATTTTATGCCCAATATAAAATATAATATATTCACATACTTTTTCTTGCAACTGTATATATATATATATATATATACACACACATTTCCTTTTACGTCTAAAAAAAATGTTCTTTAGCAAGGAACACACATTCCACATTAATAATTATGCTACCAAAATTAGTGTGTGCTTGTAAATTGCCTCCAGTGTTGCTCCTGTTTCTTTTGCTGGAGGCTGCCATTTTGCTGAAGTCCAGATCCCCTGAGCAGCAGTAAATTTTTAGGCTGTCAGATCGGACTCTACATTTTCGGCACAGTGCAGAAAAATAGGGAGCAACTGAGCATGTGCAGAGCAGGGTGAGACAGTGTATTACTGAATTTTAAATAGTATAGGCATTTATTTTTAATGTTTTACATAGCTATACCAGCAAAAGGGGCCAGACGGAAGTGATATAACAGGACTCAATTACTTAAATGAAGTTCTACTTTAAGGTTTGCTACAGATACACTTTAAATTGGCAATAATTCGGATCAAAATATATAGATGTTATAAAGCTTAAAAAAGCAAATTAATT